AGCTCAGCAGGGAGGTTTAGAATCAGAAAGGAGGAAGAGATTCAGGAATCATCAACTTATACAGTATCATTAGAGCCAAGGATTTGGACAAAGTCACTTGGGGAAAGGAAAGGTGGCCAACAACAGAACTCTGGGACTCAGAAAGGGTGGAAGACCAGGAGAAGACAAAAAACTGTGCCAGACACTGCTAGCATTTAACACTACAGAATCTCCTGGTGTAGGCATAAAGCAGAAACTTAAATAGCACTGACTGTGAATAGGCAGTGCTCAGAGTCCTTTGCAGTAGCTCATTAAATGCCATATTTATGCCCGAGGGAACTGAAGCCCATAGGCGTGATGTGCTCAAGGTCTCAGGCTTGACATGAACTCAAACCCAGGTGATAAGGCACCAAAGTCTGAGCTCTTCACCACATTGCTGTTCTGCCTCACCCTATCTTGCATCAACCTTAGAGACGAGAAGAGATTTAAGAAATTTGCTCAAGATGATATGGTCACGTCAGGTTTTAAAGTAAAACCTTTGCACTTTCCACTATGCAACTTCTTCACAAGCTAAGGGGGAAGAGAATTGCAGGGACAAGTGTCCTCTAGTGAGATTAGAACAGAAAGCATCCATTAGATTTGGCTACTGGGTTGTAAAGTCTTGAAGAGTGAATGGTAGCAGGGGAGAATCTAGATGATTCTTTCTGGGAGTTTGGCTATCCAGAGAAGAAAAGAGATGGGAAAGTGTGAAAAAGAGAAGTGGGATGTAAAAATGCTTAAAAAATATTTTTTGTTTAAGAGGAAGAACCCTGTAGCTATTTGTACACCTAGGAAATCTAAGAATGAGGAGAGCTGGTTTTCAATCTGCTGTGGGTTTGCTTCATTTGAATCAGGGTCTCTGAGCCTGTGGACCTTCAGGGTCTCTGCGCCTGGGATGGCAAGGTCATCACTATGTCTTCTTTAACTGCAAACATAGCCACAGACTCGCTGATGGGCTACCGCTCTGTGGTAAATGGTCTCTAAGTCTGAATGGTAACATCATAGCTAAACTGCTAGTAAATAGCGATGAGGTACCATACCCATAATACCAGAGGTTTAAAACTATGAGAATTCACTGCTGATGACAAGGCTGCTACAATTCTTTTGGAAGACAATGGTACACATTTCAAGAACCTCACACCTTGTCATATCACTTGTCTCAATAATGTCATATCTGAGAGTTTGGATGCAGAAACAAATGAAAGTGTGAAGATATTTACTGCAGCATTGTTTATAAATAGAAAATCAATCAAAGTATTCACATGTAAATAAATGTCTAGTAAACCCACTTGATTGATAGAAGTTAATATGGTGGCTTAAAATACGACAATTTTTGAAACATGGTATTCATACAGTGTTAAGTGAGGAAAGCAGGATAAAAATTCTTCAATATCATCACAAGTATGTAACTATATAAAAAAGACTAAAATATCTTCACTAGCAGTGATTTTGTTTGCCTACCTCTTACTTTGATAATGAAAATATAGTAAACATAAAAAGATTGCTATAGCTCTCCACTAATTATCAATAGCCAAATACAACCAATATTATTTTTTTCTATTCACTTTTCATATGGTTCTCTGGTATTTTGGTAGAGCACAAGTTATCCATACAGAAATGCAGTGGTTTTCCTGAAAATGCATCAAGTGAAACCTCTGCATCACCCATTAGGAAAGCATTTTCAAAATGTTTTCTTCTGCTCAACATCATTTTACTGTAAAAAAAACAAAAACAAACCCACACTCATTTGGAAAATGCAGAAAATTGTAAAATCGGAGAACTATGGAGAAGCAAAGAAAAATCTCACTTAATTCTTATATTCAGATAATTAATGTTGATATTTTATAATAATAGGAACAGATTTTGATGGGAGGGACTGCTATGATTGTGTTAAACTAATATAGCTATCTCTGACATAAAACGGATGTTACATTTCACTCCTCAACAAAGCCAAATCATCCATTGACAGTGCAGGTTTAAGGGCAATCAGTATTGAGCTCGGTCTGTGTGGGACTGGGCTGGGCTCCACAGTAGACCTGCGCTCAATGACCTTATTAAGAAGGCAACTTTGTAGCCATTGTTGAGAGTGTATTCCATCAGTAGATCAGAGACTTGCTGTATGAAACATATGACTAGGCTTCAGCAATAAGTCTGGACATGGTGCCAGGAGATGAGCTGTGCTGATCCCTTCGTTCCTCCTCATTGCTGACGCACAGGGTCATCTTCTATCTATCACTTCTGAATCTTGCAAACCACTGGCCCTGGAACATAGTAGGTGCTCAATAAACACTTATGCAAGTAAACTAGAGGCTGGGGTTCAAATTCCTACCCTAGCACTTCTCTGGCTTCAGCCTCATAGAAGCTAATGACTTTTAAATCTCAATCATTGATCCTGTCTTCCCTCCAAAACTGCAGACCCAGCTAACTAGCTGCCTCATGGACTTTTCCACTTGGAAAAGTTCCATTACCATCTGTCTAGGTGCCCAAGCAAAAGACTAAATGTCTCTTTCCACTCCTTTGTTTCACTCTTCCCTCTTCTATATATTTGCTCAGCAAATCCTGCTGACTCCAGTTAAAACATATCTCAAATTCATCCTGTCATTTCCATCCCCACAGGTGCAATGTGAACCAGTTCAAACCCTCATTATATCTTACCTGGATCATGCCTCCAGCCTTCCTGCTTCAAAACATCATCCATGTGGCCATAACCAAAGGTATCTATCTAAACTCAGGTATAATTTCTTCAAAACATTAAAAAAACCTCCCCACTTCCTTCCTTCAAAACATTCAAAACCTTCCCATTGCTTTAGAATCCAAATTCTTACACAGCTCAGAAGGCCTCTCATAGTCTGGCTCCAACTTCCCTTTCTGGTCTCATGTCATCTCTCACCCCAAATAGGCCTGGTATGCTTTAGCCATATAACATTCTCCACTCTTCCTCAAATAGATCATACCTTCTCTCTTAACACAGACTGGTCTAGAATCTTCTCTCCCAGTTTCTTGTTGATGGTGCTCCTTCACCTGGGAACTCCTTCCCTGTTCAGAGTCCAGCCCATTGAGAAGCATTTCTGGGGCCTCTCCCAGGTAGTAGCCACCACTGTCTTGACCTTACTTTCAAAGTACTTAGTTTGTACATCTATTATATCACTCATCTTGACCAGGTTCTTTGTGTTGTTTTTGTTGTTGGTTCTTTCAGAGCTTAAGATGCTGCCTGATGCATAGCAGTGAGCATGTCAATGTTTGGGCGGAGAACCGCCACCTGGGTAGGGTTGCTGGTCTAAGGCATGGTACCACATCTCTCCCTGTGAATGCAGCCCCAGCCTAAGGTCCTGCCTCTGGCCTCAGCCCTCCTCACACCCATCCTCTGTGCAGTGGTCAGGCTTCACTTCACCAAAGAATCCTCTTGGATGCTGGTTTCACAGGCAGATTCCCCCTTCTTCTCTGTAAAAGATTGATCGATTGTGATCAATGCATGTTGGTTGATTTAGATTTGTTCAGAGAAGCCCAGATTGAGCTTGAGGCTGAGGGACCCAGGTCAGGAGGAAGGACTAGTGAATGGAGTTCATTGATATTCTGGGACTTAAGTGAGATATGATAGGACTCTTCATTGGACTTGATTAAGTCTCTGAATGGGTCCCTGATGGGCATACACAAAGACTAATGAAAGCTACTCTCTAAGTTGTACTCAACTTTTAGGAGCTAGCTTAGAGTTCTGAATTATAGGACTTCGGGAATCTGCTGCTCAGCTCCTCAGACCTTGGCGGGATTCTCCTCCCATTAATCCAGGGACCTCCCCAGCATTGCGTTTCACTCAGTGCGTGTGGTGGCTGGAATGCTTGTCCCCCCATTAGATTGTAAGTTGGGCAAGGTCAGGGCTTGTGTTTATTGTCCAGTCTTCTCAGAATATAGTCGGTTATCTGGCTCCCAGTAGATGTTTCGGAAATAGTTGTCATGAAACTAAATAGTCCTTTCATACCCCAGGAAATCAAGCCATTCGGTGTGTCTGCAGAATGAGCACTCAACTTTCTACAGACTGACTGAAAAAAATGAACTTGTTGGGGACTTTCGGAGGCAGTCAGGAGGGAGCCCTGCTGGTCCCCTCCATCCCCACTGCTGGGCCGGCTCCCTGCGGCCTGCGCTCCCGCGCAGAGAAGCTATAGGACGAAACGCACAGGGGGTTCACAGAGGCTTCATGAAAAAGTGACGTGACGCTCTGTGGACTCTGTACCAGGAGGGGAATGCAGGGTAAGGACCAGTGAGAGGAAACAGGTCAGAGAGCAGGCGAAGGGCGCGCCTCCTCCACTTGCACGCTCGGGTGCGGCGTCTGGGGCCTGGGTGGGTGCTGGCCCTCCCCGCCCACC